TATATTTAGTTGCATTCCCTCGACACGACTAGCTTCTCCCCTTTTTCTGCATTAGAGTCACTCCCTTTTTACGTGTACAAAAGTTGCCTGGCCTCCCCCACTCCCTAGATCTCAGTAAAGGCCTTATTTACGTCTTTTGACGATCATAATTGTATTTAGAAAAGAATATAGGTTATTATTCTCAAATTATCCCTTATTTGTCCCTTTTCTTGACTCGCCCTAATCTTTTTTCAGGAATTAGTATTATAGAATCTAGAAAACGGTCACAACTTGAATTGAAATATATAGTCTCCATTTATTTTATTCATTTTATCAAATTGTCAATTTTCACTAATCAAATTTCCCCCCATTGCAGCAAAACTGTCACTTCATGCAAATTTTCAAAAAGAATAACCGAAATATGCGCCAAAATTTTCAACTATGCATTTATATCCATCGATTTATAACGGAATTCTCCTTTAAATCTAAATGAAACCGATCGATTGATCTTTATTATTTCTCGAGTGATAAATAAAAAAGTTAGCATTCTTGAAAACTTTATCATCCTGGGTGATCTCAGCGAGCTGTGAGGCAAAGCAGAGTTTTTTCTGGCCCTACAAATGAATCATTAACCACTTTCTCCGGTGATTTATTTAAAAAAAAAATCACAATCTCCCGAGAAACAAAAACCCGCACCCTAATTGCCATAAACATCAACTCTATCCATTAATTCCCCGATTTTCCCAGAACAACTATTTTAATAACCCTAATAAAATCAAGCGTCTCCATCAGGCAACATCTCAACCTCAATCAAAATAAACCCGACTGAAAAACCCCTGTTGATCACTGAAATACCTAACGACTTGTTTACATCCCTGAATTAACCACTCTTAATCATTATAAAATCGCCATGAAGATTTAAAGCCCTGTCACGTGTGTTTATGATGAGGCAAGGGGATATAAAAATCCGGCAACACGCCACTGAGGAAAATTGAAAAACGCCCCGTTCTAGAGTCTTTCTTCGTGATAGAAACTTCCACCATCTTTTTTGTCGTATTCGACACTGCAATAAATGTGGATATCGCCGGTGGGATTTACCACGAGAATGAGAGGGGAGGAGGGGCTGATGGTGTATCACCCGAGTCCTGACTGGAAGATAAAATCCTCGCGGGAGTGGATTTTCCAGGCTGGAGTCAAGATTATCAGGATACGAATGAACCTGGAGGATGTGGGAGAGGGAAAAGATGGAGATGGTGGTATCTAGCGCTAAAGTTCACGGCTGGTTTCGTGTCGTTGCGGGAGAAAAGATAGATATCTCACCCGGATTCACGTGTTTAACCACTGAGAGAAACACAAACACGTGGGATCTGAAGTGGAAGTCTCTGGGGATAGGTCAGTTAGCAGTGACCAAACAAACGACTTTGGGTTTTTGGTCGCTTTGAGGATTTATCTTTGTGTCAGGGTTTTTTCAGCTTTTCCATTTCTGAGGAAAGCATTTTAGACGTGTTATTGAGGTTTACTCATGATTATTTTTCAAAAATGGAATTATTTCGATGAGATTGTTGGATAGTGGACGAAATAATTCGTAGGACGGTATCGCAGATCCAAATCAAATATTAAATGATCTTTAGACATCTTAATTGATAGTAGATTAGGAGAGTTGGCGCATCGGACGATCTCGACAAACAAACGACTTTGAGTCTTTTCATGTCTTTGAGAATTTGTTTTGTGTATTAAGTATTTTCGGATTTTCTATTTGAAAGGAAAGTATTCTAGAAGAATCAATAATTGTGAATTTCGACTGTTTTGTTTAAATGGAATTGTTTTAATTACATTTTTAATTAGTGGGGGAAATTTTTGCTGGGAAACTCTGTAGGACGGCAGTTTGTCACTCATTTCATCGCGAAATATCGCATATCCATATCCAATTTTGAATGTTTGAGGTCTTAATGTCTTAAAAGTCAATAATCAATAATCGATTAAAAGAGAGCTAATCAGACGATCTTGATAAAGAAACGCCTTTGGGTTTTTTAAAATCTCTTTGAGGAGTTAGCGTTGTATCTGATTTTCTCCGCATTTCCATGTCAGAGAAAAGCATTTTGGACGTGCTATTGAGACACTGCGGGATAGTTGGCGAAATATTCGTTTGGTATCGCAGATCCAAATCAAATATTAAATTATTGTTCTTTTGATATCTCAGTTGATAGTAGATTAGGAGAGTTTGCTGATGAGGTAATCTTGACAAACAAACGACTTTCAATTTCAAAGCAAAGGATTTTAATAAAAGACTCATTATTCGACTTCAGGGGAGATTTCAGAAAAGCTGATCTTGACTCTTGATACATGGAGAGATCCCGAGGAACACTGTTAAGGGCTCATTTTTACATCTTGGGAATGAGTGAAATTCTCTTATCCTGTCCGCAAATTTCTCTAGTGTTGCGCTTGAAATTGTGTCACTAACTTGTTAGATGAATGTTTCCTGAATTTCCTCACAAAAATTTCCGCAGTTTCCTTCTGCATGCAATGCCCTTCTTAATCAAGATTGTCAGTGACCATTTCAACTCAAGCTCATTTAAAACTGAAATAAATCGTTGACAATTATTTCGGTGCACACTGTTAGAAAAAAAATGAAATTTCATGGATGGTTGACTCCCAATTTTCAGGGCAGTGACACTGAATGTGATTTAGGGGAAAAAATATCATGAAATTTCATGTTTCACTGAAAATTCAGTAAAATTGCAGAATTTTAAGGGGCATAAAGACGAGTATTCCTTAATTTATTTGATTTTCCAAGCTTATATGAATATTCAGTGTCAAATTGTGTGGAATTTTCAGTGAAATCTGAAATTTCATGATTTTCCCCCCTAAATCTCATTCTGTGTCACTGTCCTGAAAATTTAAGAATATAATTACCAGAATTTTCTGGTTTTCTATTCATTTTCAGGGAAAAATGGAACGGAAATTTACAGTTCTGTTTGATTTTTTCACGAAATTCTGAATTGTCAATGACATGATTTCCTGAAATTTCAGTGCAATTGGGACACGATAAAAATTTCCCGAATTTACCACGGAAAATTTAGACAATAGTATATTTCTAACCTAGGGAGGGAAAATAAAGGATCCTCAGCCGCCAGTGCAATTACTGGCCGAGCCGAAGGCGAGGTTGGTAAGCACGCGGCTGAGGGTCCTTTATTTTACTTCCCGTGGTTAGAACGCGATTTTCCGTCTCGGCGTAGGCGCAAAGTCAGAGTTCCCTCCCGCTTCGCGGGAGGGAAATGTAACTTTGCGCCCGTCGGGACGGAAAAATTTTTAACAGTGCAAAAAGACGCAAGAAATGTTCTACATATGATATACCTATGAAAGCGTTATTGAGGCCATGAAGAGATAATTCCACACTCAATCCGTTAGGTATACTAAAATAAATAGTAAACTGGGAACAGCTAACCAACAAAATATTCCGTAGATGCATAATGGAGATAGACGTCTAGGGAGTGTATGAATTTAAACCATGGATAATGCAATGCTCACTGCAAATATTTCCTTTCGACACATCCACCAATGGGTGAGGTGCATGAGGTAGCAAAAGGGTGGAATGAGAATGAAGAGAGAGAGGTGCAAGGAGACGAGGTTTACCAGAGTCGTCGTACCTCATTACGTATGTATTTCTGCATAACGAGATACTCGGGGGCTACCGGCACGTTCTAGAATCGAGGTTTCGATACTCTGGGGAGCCACTCGGAAATTATGCAGCTACTGCATTCGTGAGCAACTTGACATCGGTGGGTACAGAGAGAGGAGAGTCATCCAGGGGATTTTGAATTCATGTTTCTTGGATTTTCTGGGAATTAAATATATCAGTGAATGATGTTAATGAACGGTTTGATGACATTATGCTGATAGATGTGATTGCGAATAATCTTAATGATATTTGCACAGGGGAGAATTTCGAGACGCTTGCCAGACAAATTGATTATCTACTGTCTGTCATATTTTTGAATGAGCTGGCTGGCCTTGAGCCGGCGTTAAATAATAGGATTCTCATCTTCTTAATCTGACGATGATAATATTAATGAATTAAAATTTTGTCTAAAAAACTTGGAATTCGCTTCCGAATTAAATTTTTGTGATGATGTATTTTAAATTGAATTCAATGATTCATTGAATTCAACATTGCCCCAATCTTGGTGGCTAATATTGCCCCAACGTTAAATTTTTTTACCTTTCTCTGAATATTGGTTCCAAAATGAATTTTTTCAACAACAGATGGTGCAATCAATTTCGTGATTGAACTCGGTCAAGGAAAAATATTTAACATCACAATTAGATTCATTTAAACAATTATCTTTTCAGTTATTGTCGAAAAATGATCGGACAAATAGCTTATTCGAACTTCTGAAGCCAAAATTAGTTATCCTGACACAAAAAATTAGAAATTTCGAATTTTACAAATACAATGATTCTATTCAGAAGCAAAAATGCGATTTCAGAGACAGGTAAGTAGCCATTTGGCGGGGGAGGGAGGGCTGATAAAATTTCGCTGAAGATTCAAGGTAATTCCAAATTTTTGAACAGCAGGAAGACGAGAACACCTCAACTTATTTCAATTCTCTATAAAAACTATAAAAAGCATTTTAAGTTTCGAATCACAGGAAATTTTCAATTAATTAAAAATTTATTGAATTATGATCAATCAACGAATCATATTGTCATTTTCAAAATTTCGTCAGAAGAGGACATTCCTACAAAGACCTCTAGAAATGGATTAGAAGGATCTATGATTGAGATCCACTGCTGCGTTGTCATAATATCTATAAAAATCAACTTCACTCATGCGCAGAAAATGGACTCATTATCGCATTAATCAATCACCTTATTTAAGAATATAGAATATACTTTAACCAATGGAAGGGAAAAGCATATTCCGTATTTGTCTTATCAATTGATACGGGACACATTGCGTAATGTAATCCCGTATAAATAATCCCCAAACCGACTATCATCCAGGTCTTCTTCTAGTGCACCATGCTTGCGAAAACTATCGTTCTTGTCGCTTGTATTGCTGCAGCGACGGTGAGTAAGAAGAGTTCAATCTATTCCTTTTTCAATTTGGCATTGATTCATAATTTATACAACTCATCTGTGAAAATAGGCTTTGCCCGTACCTCTACATGAAGCCACTTGGGTTTCAATTTACAAAAAATGCATATTGAATGCAGTGCGATTCATTTCAACGTCTGCAATGGAACCAGGTCTCCAAGTTTGTGTCATGAAAGAAGCAGGAACTGTAAGTTTGGACAAACTTGAAGCCCAAATAAATTCAATACGACTTCATTAGTGATAACTAGAGATGTAAATCGACTAGGAATTAATGTCCCGCCAGTGCAGGCAATGATTGTTGACGAATTACCAGAGAGTTACTGATGCAATTGGGCATCAGAATGCCGGGAATGTCAAAGGGTTCCCAAAAAATGATAGCAATCCTAAGGCAACCGTTGCTGTCATTGGTTGCAGCAGGATTGTATCTTTGTTGGGTACAATTTGACGGCAGAATTCCATCAGATTGCAGCAGCAACTGGCTGCCATTGAGGTAGATAGACTTAAGTGATTTTATAGTATCCACAAAGGGGACGATTTTTTGGTCAACTATCCATCACAGCTTGTGAGTCACAAGCCATTGACGCAATCGATGCATCTTCATGTAATTTTAATCTCAGATTTTTGTCCGAAATGACTCAAAAGGTTTCTTGGTTCATTGCGTAAAGGCTCACGAGGCTTAGTGTGAAGATGATCGAATTAGTGTTTTCCGATAACCTTTCTGCAATAGATCTCAATTGGGCACGACCTACTAGTCCATACTTTTGTCAAGTTATTTCTCTCATGCTATTTTATACGCAGATGACAGAGGATGGAGTCTGGAAGGTCGAGCAAATCATTGATTTTATCCCGAAAGAGGAACCTAAATACGATGGCATTGTTTCAACAATGAGAACCTGTGCCCAAGAAGGTATGTATCTGTATGCTTAATGAATGCAAATGAGGTAAATTACAACAGGTAATTGATAGACGATTACCGATTGAATTGTTGATTTCACCATTTAGCTACTGGTAAAACAGAAGGTGAGACAGCTATGTTCTTGCCGAAATGTTTGGCCGAAAAATTGCCATGTGAGGATCATCCATGCCATGTTACTGCCAATCTGCTGGTGGTGTTAAATGCTTCAATGCTTCCGACTGTTCCACAGCGAAGATGAGATCGAATATGACAAGAGACGCGACACATTTGTATGTCCAACTAATGTAAATGACGTAGGGTACAACAGGCCTCCTATATATATTAATCAATTTCATTGTAAATTTCATTTTTTAGATGTTGCGAAAAAGAAAGGTTAGAGTGTTATATCCTTGCTGACATGTTTGGCTGACGAATTTCCATATAAAAATCATTCATGGAATGCTGCTGCACATCTACTGATCTTGCTCAATGTTGAAATACTTTCAACTATTCCACGTTAAAGATGGATTCGCATAGGTCTCATCGTTTGAAATGTTCGAAATAATTTTTTAGATTTATGAAAACTCGTTCCATTCCATCCTAGTAACTTTCAAGATCGCAGTTTCAAATTGAATTATTGATACCTTACAATAAGCAAAATATACATATTTCTGTACGTAATTAGGGAGACTATGTAGCATGTGTCTCGGAATAGAACTGTATACGTAATGAACCATGGTGGATCTCATTCATTTGTCTATCAATTTCTTCAACTTGTTCCCTCGTGTTTTACGTAATCGACCTCATTACAAAATTACCTGATATCCTCTATCACTGCATGACGATTACACTTAAATAAATACTCATATTTGTACGGGTCAGACGTCGCAGAAGCGATAAAAATTGATAGTCCTCTATGAGTGGAGTGAGTCATACCAATTTGCAGTACATATTTCACGCATTTTTTTGTTTTTTCTGGTGAAAATGGCCACTTTTGAAGTACATCGATCCGAAGAATCGCATCTGCTCCTACACCTTTTAAGATTTTAGAACTTTTTTTCAAATACTCGATGTGATCTCATGCAAAATTAAATGCATGGGATTTGGAATTACTCATACGAGGAAAAAATGAAAAAAATCGGTAAAAATCGGCAAAGTTTTCCATTAAATATTTTTGGGACTTGAAAAAAGTGGTGCCGCCCCTCGTTAATGACTAATGAAAGCCATCCAATTCTCATTACTTCTGTAATTTACAGTGGTGTACACCTGAGTTTTTAATACCGTATTAATGATTAATGGAGAAAATTACACGCTGATTATCTTTCTAATCATTAATGGAGCTTAATGGATTTTTCATTACTTCGTTATTGAATAATGAAATTGTTGTGACTTTAATCAGGTATTCCAACAAAAAGTATTAACCGCTCGGTCCTCATCATCGTTTTGATCCGAATCCTTCTGTTGGACCCTTACGAACGTTTTTTATAGTCAGGGAAAGAAATTAGTTTGCTCAAAAATTAGTCTAAAGTCAGGGAACTTCGAATAAACTTTTCGCTGAACATCCTGAAACTCATATTCGAATAACTCGAGAACCACTGACACAATTTCGTTGAAATTCACTCCAGTGTTCGTCAAATAAAACTGCATCAATTATCATGAAAACAAATTAATCCCATCGTTTCTTCAGAAGAAATCATCGAATTTGTGAAGAAAAATTAACAGTTACTATAATTCCCACACGGGATTTTTTCAACCACCCCAGATAATTCGTTAGTTCCGATAGGATCCTTAATGGTGGTCCTTAACCTTAATTATCTGCCTTCATCTTTTGTTCCTTTCATGTGTTTCCTTCATGTTTCCTGAATAGGAGGAAAAGTGTCTGTTTTCCGTACGTAAATCAATAAAATTAGTTTAAATTGGTTCAAATGTCTCTGCTTCGGGGAATCATTCCTACAATTAGTCACTAATCTGTAAGATTATTACATTTCAAATTTAGTAGTAAGTAATTTTTCTTCAATTGTTTAATTCTCCCAGACACCTCAACTCATGTAGTCCGAGAAAGGTCTCATGCTTTAAAATCTTTTTGTGCTCAAGTATGATTTTGTCGTAAATGCACTCACGCAAATCGCGTAGAAGAATCGTCAATCTTCAAATATTTATTGTTATTTATTGTTATTTATTGTTATTATAGTATTTATTGTTATAGTATTTCATAATTTTTTTGTTATGCAGTTCCAATATTTCGATATGTAATATATTCACGATGTAATGCGCAAAGATGGTGATAAATGAGAATTGATTCGGGTTCCGTGAACCCAAACATTTTGCGATTTAAATCATTGAAAATAATTTACTTCTCTTAAGTAAATATGATCTACGTATTAGGAAATTTTTCCGTCAGTGTAATAATGTAAAAGTTTTATTACAAATGCAATGTTTGATTTCCTGTTGCAGCAACCGGAACAGATTACAACAGTGCTACTTCCCTTCATAACTGTTTCCATGAGCAGTTGTCATGTGATAATAACGATAAGTGCGGAGTTAGTTCGTCGATTTGTGAGATGTTCGTTGGTGATGGGTCATATAATGTGTGATGATTCTCATTCATAATTTCAATCATTGCTGTATTGTGAATGCCATGTAGCTATCGGCAAAAATACAGAATTTTCAGAGGTCCTTCGTGACATAATGTTCTTTGATGAATGACCCTCCCTCACTCTCTCTAAAGATGAAAAATTGCAAAACCTACTCTCCTTCAGACGTTTCGCCGGACCTCTCCGTGATAAAATGTGAATGCCAGAACACACGGAAGGATACGGAAATGGGGTTATTCGAGTGATCCTCCAAGTTCATACAGATGAGATGGAGATTTCTGACAAAGGGACGGGGAAACTCTTCATTATGGTGGAGAGAGAAGCTCGGATACTGGACGGGTGTTTGAAGGGGAACCAGTTGGAAGCAAGAGCGAGTGAAAGTTCACTCTCAACTGTATCCAGAACCCCTCTGACCTGAACTTGCTTGCAAGCACTACCTAGTTGTTGATTGTTCCCGGTGTAATTATAACTTTGGACCAATGCTTCCACCACCATTCACCGATGTAATTATCAATTACCGGTTGGTCCGCTCACTCGACGAACCTCACTTTATCCGATCGGAAAACCCGGAACAAGGGAATTTTCAAACTTACCCAGTTTCTGACCACTTATTACTGTTTTTTTCTGGTTGTCGGGTTATCTGAGGGTAGGGGACACTTAAGGGACATGAGTCTTCGTTTCCACCCTCGCACTCTACAAGGAGTCATAAACGGTTAGAATGGATTCTTCGAGGTGTTTACTCGAAGATGGAAAGAAAACAGATTTTTTATTAACATTAAACATATTTAATTATGTAATTCTATTGCCATCGGCCAGTGAGCGACGGAATCGATCTTTGAGGGTAATACCATCCGGCATGCATCCAATACCGCCCACTCTGTTTTGATGACTTTGTTGAGCAATGCAGAGCAACTGGTATAATTTTTCCTATTTTCATCCTTCGTTTCCATTCTTTGGCCCCATTTTGAGGAAGATTTCACGTGAGTGATAATAAATTATCCTGAATTTACCCGATGTTCCAGTGGCCACCGACTACCCCAAACAATCGAGCTGTCACTCGACCGCCCTCTAACTGCAGAGTCTAGCAGCCCTATAGAAATCCTGAACGGCATTACCCACAAACTCTGCCGGAATTACCCACAAACGCGGAGGCTGATAAAATGGCCAATAATAACTGATGAAGATATTTTTCTGCTATCGAAAAGATCGCAATGGATATGGAAATGTAAAACGAACATATATTTCCTACTCCATTCAATTATGGACTAACTGGAAATTTGAAAAATCTTAAATTCAGGGGTCGAAATATTTTAAGAATTCGGTAGGAAATGATTTGGATTTTTTTAACGATGTTTCCACTGTAGAAAATCAAAAATTTCTGTTGAAATTACTTGTTCTTATTAAATACCTGTATAATAAAAAAAGAAAAAATTGGCTTTTTCTCAGCCAATCTTGAGAAATACGAGTGGGCAGTATTACCCGCTGGGCAGTATAGGCACCAGATACACAGTAAAAATGAATGTCTAAATTTCACACACCTTTTGCAGACACTGAAAAACGTCTGAATAAAATGAAAATTTGTCTGAATTTCAAACATGAATTAAGCTGTTGGGGCACCTGTTTGTCTGAAATTCAGACACATTTTCAGTTTATTCGAACGTTTTTTAATGTCTGACAAATGTCTACAAAAGGTGAGTGAAATTCAGGCATTCATTCTTGCCGTGTACCCTATAAGAAATGTACGTAGTTAAAAATCAAGTCAGAATTAAGTGACGACCCAGGTAATCATATAACAACAAGAAAAATAATAAAAATAAAATAAAATAAAATTAAAATGAAAAAAATAAGTAAAAATAATAAAAATAATGAAATAATAAAAAAACGATAAGAAAAAAAATCGAAATCATTTTCAGACACAAATTGTCTTTGTAATTTTCATGCGTCACGCAAATTCCTAAACACCGAATCACTCAAATATTTCTTGCCACCTGACATCCTAAATTCGAACGGCTTTCAAACGCCGAGTTTTTGCAGTGTATCTAAATCAATCAAACCGTTGTGAACGAAAGCCCATCGCTGTCATGCCGTGTCACCCATCTTAATTACAATATCCACGGTGAAATATTCCCGCGTCATCGTCATGTTCCCCAGAGCCAAATAAAGATGACAATAATTCAAATGCGGAAGTAATAACGCAAGTGTACGGCATTATTGCACTCGTAGGCGCCTCTGTGACTTCTCTCCGACACACTCGGGGGGAGAAAGGGGGTTGAGATCCACGTGACACTGGGATAATTCGAGGGTTTGCAGTGTGCGGTATCTTTGCGCAGACCACACAGCATCGATCACCAGCCGGGCACAATATTGGCACGATAATCGGGGGATGGGTGATGGGAGGAGGGGGCAGAGCAAGAGATTCGCTATGGTCCGCACCGGTCCAACACTGGGGGCGTCCCTATCTGCATAACATTGGGTATGTAACTGAATATAGGGGGCGGTGAATCATACACCAACCCCTAACATTATTCCGCATGGAGAAAAAAATAGAATTTATGCTTTTCGTAAATAAGTTAGCTGTCCATATTTCATTGATCAGTTTGGGATGAATGGGATAAGAAAGTAGTGGATAATGCCTTTTTCATACGGATGCATCTATCGTAAAGTATATCCCCAGATAATACCACCCAAAAGTTAGTCCCTATGGATTTCAGGAAAAAATTATAAATGACTTCATTTATTCGTTTTCCTTAACTTCTCTGAAATCCGAAATCCAAAAATTTGGATTGAAGAAATCACAAGGAATTTTGTTTGATCAATGTTTCAAACTCTCAAGGAGTTCTTCATCGGGGCAATACTTAAGGATTATGTTAACTAAATAAGTTTCTCTAAGTTTCAACTGAATTTT